TGCATGCACACGGGYTTTTGCTTGCTTGTGGGTGCACATGCACTTGTGCACAGGCACACACTCRCTTGGGCACCAAGGGTTCACCCCCGGGTGCTAGAAAGAGTTTTCTCCCCACTGGGATCCCCAGTGCACCCCAGCCCTGGCCCCGGTGACCCTCTTTCCCCCGGCATGGGCAGAGGGGAAGGTGTGGGAAGCACAGGCTGGAGTGACACGGGTTGATAACCCACTCTCCCCCACAGCTGAAGACCCCTGTGGGCAGGGGCCGAGCCTTTCTGCGTTACTGCCTGGTGCACCGGCAGCTGGCAGAGTCCCTRCAGCTCTGCCTCCTCGACCCTGAGAGCCTCTGGTGAGAGCAGGGGCACAGTGAGGGGATGCTCATGGCCAGGGTGGGCAGTCCCCTGCAGCACCCGTTCAGCAGAGGTGACCTCTATGCATCCCTCTATGCCTGTCCAGGCCACAGAGGATGCATGAGCCTGTTTTGTGGTTGCAGTGAATGGTACTACGCCCGCAGCCCCTTCCTGTGCCCCCAACGGCGGGCAGAGATCCTGGGCAGCCTCTATGAGCTGGACTGTGTCACCTTCCATCTGGCCCTGCGCAGGGACGACCTGGACACCGCCTGGCCCATGTTCTCTGAGTGAGCCTGGGGACACTGGGGGCACCAGGGGCATGGGCAGCACTGCAGGTGTCAGGGGCATCAGAGGCACCTGGGGCTCAGCATCGCAGAGAAGCACGTGGGCATTGCCCCACTGTCCTGGACCCCACACGGCACCCCAAATGTGCCAGCTCTCCATATGTGACCCCAGGAGGGCACAATCACTGGCACCAGGATGCCCATGGTGCCTGTGCCTGCAAACACGCCACATGCATGCGTACACACACACAGAGCCATCCTCTGCCAAGGGTATCCCTGCTGCAGCACCATGACAAACAAGTCCCCATCTGGCACACGGGGACATGTGTGTGTTTGCACACCCTTGCTGTGGGCACACTTGTAGGGGGGCATTCGTGGTGCAGCTGTTCTGGCACGCTCACACCTGTTCTGCTGCTCACAAGGTCATGTGCACACACTGCCACAAGCACACAGGCAGCTCTCAGTGCTCCCTCGTAGTCACCACAGGGGTCACTGAGTGCCACCTGCTCTGTGGGTGCTCAGGCTGGTGTCACCAACATCCCTGATCCTCTGCCCTGCCGCCCTCTAAATCCCTAAAGGTGGGCTGTATTCAGGGAGCCCAAGTGGATGGTGATGATGCCCTGTTCACCTTGGGGGTGGTCCTGAGCCCTGTGTCCCCTCTAGGACACTGGTACGGCCCGGCCCAGKGATCAGGAGCAGCCCAGCAAAAACAGCCCTGCAGACAGACAGTACCGGCACTGGAGCACATGGATGGTCTGAGGGCATTGCCCATCCCACTGTGGCACCCCATGGGACACCAGCCAAGCCGTGCCCACCTGCTTTGGCCACCCTGCAGGCAGGGAGTGTGGAGATGGATGACACGGAGGGGGTTGTGCCGGATGTGGAGGTGAAGAAGGACATGGAAGAGGAGGATGAAGAGGAGGGGAAGAAGTATTATGATGAGGATACAGAGGAGGTGCAGGTGGAGGATGTGGAAGTGGACGTGGAGAAGGACGTGGAGGAGGGTTTGGAAGAGAAGGGTGAGGATTTGGAGAGGGATAAGAAGGAGATGAAGGACATGGATATAGAGGAACTGGAGGATGCACATGGTGCTGGCAAAGCACCCCAACCTGATGGTGCTGGGGAGCCTGGCATGTCCCCACTGCCCACTGGCACAAGGTGCATGCCGGACTCCCTGTCACTGATGCCCACCAGGCAGCCAGCTGGGACAGAGGCGTCCCTGCAGGCTCTGGTGACCCAGCTGAGGGCCGAGCTGGATCAGCGTGAGGTGGCAGCACGGGCACTGGCAGCGCAGCTGGCACGGACAGAACTGCGGCACCAGCAGCGGGAGGAGGGCAGTGTCCGGAGTGCCCAGCTGTGGGCACAGGAGGCTGAGGCACTGCGGGAAACCAACACCTTCCTGGAGCGGGCACTGGAAGCAGCGGTGGCAGCAGGGGACTCAGAGGCGCTGGCACGGGCACAGGAGGAGGCACGGGGCTGGCAAGAGGTGGCAGAGGAGCGGGGTGCCCAGCTGGCCAGGGTGCTGGCAGAGGTGGCAGTGCTGACCTCGCACCTGCAGGAATGCCAGGCAGCGCTGGTGGCAGCAGGACGGACAAACATGCTGGAAGATGCTCATACCTCAAATGAGGTGGCTGCCGTGGAGGAGGTCCTGCAGCGAGCACTGGAGCTTGCCTGTGGTCCCCAGGAGCCCCCACCAGACCTCCAGGCGAAGGGGGAGCCCAGCACAGTCACCAGTATGGCCATGGTACGGGCAAGACTAAGGGGATGCCATGGTGTGGTGGGAGTTTGGGGTCCAGGATTGAGCCTCCACTCTCCACAGCGCTTGGCCAGCCTGGCCACCACAGCGCGGGAGGAGACCTGGCAGAGCCGGCAGCAGCTCCAGGCCCAGCAGCAGGAGGTGGCACGGCTGCAGGAGGAGCTCAGCAGGTTGGGCAGGGGGCCCTATTTCCACCACCCACCAACCCACAGTGGGACCTTCTATCTCCACGTGCCACATGATTTCCCCTGGGACCCCCAGTGATGTCCTGCTTGGACACAGCCGAGGGGCAGCTGGGGATTGGCAGAGGGAGGGAGAGAGGGAGGGAAGGATGTCAGAGGGAGGGGTCAATTTGGGACTGATAGGTAGGAGAGATAGCAGGGAGGAGGGATGGGTTAGTAGGCAGAGGGAGGGAAGGAGGGATTAATTGAGAATGAATGGATGGAGATGGGACAGTGGATGGAGAGACAGAAGGATGAATTTGGGGTGAGTCGATGGATGGGGGTGGGGGGGGGGCTGGCAGAAGGCCAGTGGTACGGGTGTGGAGAAGAATGGATGAAAAGCCGGGAAATGGATGGGTGTCAGATGGCAAGGTGGCTGTGGGGATGGGTAGAGAGCTTGAGAATGGATGGGCAACAGCAGAGAAAAGAAGGGAGAGAGCGAGGGAGGGAGGAAATGAGGGAGGGAGGGATAAAACCAGCGGCGGGAGGTTTATCCGCACGCTTGGAGGGTGGAGAGACGAGCAGCTGAGGGACAGGGACACCATGTCGCCACTGCCCCGCGGCAGAGCCCGGCAGGACGGGGAGCGCTGGGCAGCGGCGCTGCAGCGGGCGCAGCGGGAGGCGCTGGAAAGGGAAGCCACGCGCGGCGCCGAGCAGGCACGGCAGCAGGAGCTCATCCGCGACATGAAGGAGCGGCTGCTGGAGCTGCTGCGGTGAGAGCCCCGCRGATTCCGCGCAAGGCCAAGGGGACCCAAGCCCCATTGCCCAGAGGAGGGCACCAGAGCCCAGGCTAATCCAGGGCTGACCCCACCCCTCCCTCCCGCAGGGAGAAGGATGCCCTGTGGCAGAAGACAGAGGGCATTGACACCCCGGTGCCCAGTGCGGTGCCCCGCGACCCAGGGTTGTGTGTCCGCTGCCACAAGGATTTCCGCCTCCTCTCCCGGCGGTACAAGTGCAGGTGGGCTCTGGGGGTGATGGGGTGGCACTGGCACAGCGCAGGGATGGCTCAGCTCTCACCGCCTGCTCTTCCAGCAGGCTGTGCCGGGGCAGGGTGTGCCACACGTGCTCCGTGGACATGGGTAAGCACGGCCGCTGCTGCTTGATTTGCCACCAGCAAAGGCACCCGCAGGCTACGTGAGCGGGGACGGCAGCCCTGGCAGCGTGTCTGGGACACCTCCTGCCCTGGCTGCCTCCTCTCAGACTTACTGGGGACCCGGGTATCCAGGGCCTGCATGCAGGTCCTGCTGCCAAGCATTTCGGGTTTGAGATGTGTCTTTTTTGGGCTGGTCCACAAAGAGGAAAACTACTCGTTTCTGCTACCCCTGTGGTTTCCGTGTCATCTGTCGGTCACTGCCAGACTGACACCCAGGCTGGTGYGGGCATGTTCAAGTCCTGCTGGAGGGAAATCATCCCCAAAAAAGGTGTTCCAGCTGCAGCCAGGATGAGCCATTGCCTGCACCATCCCACAGTGGGGAGGGTAGACAGGTCTTGGCCAACACCCTGGCTTCCTACCCTGCTGCAAGGAACCACTTGGGCAAGAGGTTTCTCAGATGCAAAGGAGATGGGCTGTCCTTGCTCAGCAACCCCACTAACCCTGCTGAGCAACCCCACTAACCCTGCTCAGCCCTGAGTTCCCAGGTTAACACCTGGGTGCTGGGGAACCCCCATAATCACCCATGAGCCAGCACGTGGGTGACACCCACTGAGGCCCCCATGGTTATGGACCCCTGGGAAGCTGGATCAAGGTCAGTGAGGAGCAGTATTGGGACCCCAGTGAGAGATGCTGAGGAGTGCTGGGGTACACATCCTGAGGCCTGGCACACAGAGTGGCAGGAGAGTCCCCAGCAGGGTCACAGTCCCTTCTTCAGCTCTTCGACCCAAGTCAAGTGTCAGCCCCAGTTGCCCAAGCTGGGGCGGAAACATCCCGGTTGTGTAAGGGACAGGTTCCCAGCGTTTGCACAACACTGTCCTGACACCGTGGTGTTGAGGGGGAGTGGGGGTGCCCGGGTTGCTGGCACCTTCAGGCAAGGGTCACAGGGCTGCTCAGTGTGAGGGGCTGCTCAGGGATCTTTCAGTGATTTGCTCTGGGATTGGGAAGGGAATGATGTCATCCCCAGGTGGGATAAACTCCACATGGAATTCCCTCTGTACCAGGGAAGTGCCAGGACCTGTCTGGGGAGCTGCAGGAAGCAAAACCTGGGCTTGGGACCCCTGTGGGGATGCACAGAATGYTGAACCCTGTTCTGGGAGCAGGGTTACCCACACTGTGACAGGTTCAGCTGGCACCACCGTTTTGGCACTGTCCCCAGAGATGTGCCCCGGCTCTGTCCTGCCATCTGCMTTCCCATGGCAAAGAGGAGCCAGACATGGCTGACCAACCCACCAACTCCTTTATTGATGGATAGTCATCAGGTAAAAACAATCCCCACAGCAGGCTCACAGAATTCCCAGGGTCACAGGCTTTGTCCCAAAGAGAGGGAACGGTGGGCAACACTTGACATCACTCCCCTGGCAATGGATCTTACCACCTTGCCACCCAATTCCCCTTCCAGCTGGGTCCAGCATCCAGTGGTGGCCCTGCCCATCCCCATGGCATCACCACSTGCATTCCAGGGGGCTGGATGAGGATGCTGAGGTGTGTGGGGTGCTGGGACCTGTGGGGAGCCACAAGGACTGGGTTCCAGAAAGGCTCAGAGGGTGGTGGATGTATTGCCAGAGGTGGAGGCATAGGAGGTGCGGCCATAGCGGGCAACAGCATCCTTGCTGATCAGCCCACGCTGTGCCAGGATCTTGAGGAAGCTGTTGCGAAACTTTTGACCGATGAAGGCATAGATGATGGGGTTGATGCAGCTGTGGGAAAAGCCCAGGATTTGTGTGACAGAGAGGGCTGTGTCGATGCGGTTCCTCCTGTCACAGGTCTCAGCAATGGCCTTCGTCCTCATGAGGGTGTCGCTCACCAGCGTGATGTTGTAGGGCAGCCAGCAGATGAGGAAGACCAGCACCACAGCGAAGATGACCTTCATGGCCCGCTGCTTCTGAGCATTCTTTGTCTGCAGGAGGGTGTGGATGGTGACACCATAGCAGAAGAGCATCACCAGGAGGGGCAAGGCAAAGCCAAAGGTCTGCGGCAGGATCCGCAGCACCATCCGCCACTTGGTCGTGTCCTCTTCGCTGATGCGCTCGTAGCACACAGTGCCATTGTTGGGTGAGCGGAAAGCCTCTCGGAAGAGCAGCACGGGCAGGGAGAGCAGCAGGGAGAAGACCCAGATGCCCAAGCAGACAAACTTCACCCAGTGCCTCTTCTCAGTGGCAGCCCGTGTGGCGTAGACAATGGCCAGGTAGCGGTCCACGCTAATGCAGGCCAGCAGAAGGATACCGCTGTAGAAGTTGGCTTCCTGCAGCACCGAAATGGCTTTGCACATCACGGTGCCAAAGACCCACTCATGGGCTCGGTAGGCAGCCCAGAGCGGCAGGCTGAAAGCGAAGAGCAGGTCTGCCACAGCCAGGTTGAGCAGGTAGACATCGGTGACGGAGCGGCTGGTGTGGCTGGAGGTCACCACCAGCACCACCAGCCCATTCCCCACCACACTGAGGATGAAGACAAGGCAGTAGATCATCACCACCAGGTACTTGTTGAGGGCAGAGCTTTCAGGACGGCACGGAGCGGATAGGATAGCAGTGTCAGGAATGGCTGTGCTGGAGTCATAGGTGTAGTTGTAAAGGTAGAAGATGTTGGAGAAATCCCCACTGTAGGATAAGGACTCCATTTTGCCTGCGAAGCACAAAATGGCATGAGTGTGGGGTGGCAGAGTGGTGTGGGCCAGGGGAGACAGGATCTCTGGGTCCTCTGGCATCTCCATTGTCCCCCAGGTCCCCTTACAGCCAGTGAGCAGCTTCCTTCATCATTCCACTGTATCCACACTGTGCCCGGTAATGGCCAGTGCTGCAGGGGAACACTGTTCCTCGTATGCCCCCTTGTAAAACACCTCCTGCCTGCCTCACTCTCCTCCACTTGTCCCCAGTCCTGTCCCTTCCATTATTCCTGTGGAAGAAGGGGCTCTCCCACAGACTGATCACCTTTTCTCATGTTGAGGGGCTTCCCTATCACCAGCCTCTCCACCCCCTCAAGCGCTGCTGCTGGAGCTGCTCCTCCTGCCACTTCAGCCAGCAGTGAGGTGGCAGTCACGGTGCTTAGGGCAGGCAGCACTCAAGAACGTCAGAAGGTGTTTTTGTGCACTTCTTCCCCCTCCTGGCCTTGCTCCTGAGGGAGTGGTTTCAAGCCCCGGACAGAAAGATATGTCACACTTTGCAGKCAGCTTTGGAAATATTACATCTCTGGTTTTCCTGTTGCTCAGCTGGGCACTGCCGGGCATTTCTATGCCCCCTGTGCTCGGCCTCGATGGGGAAATCACAGGTGACAGCCGCTCTTCCTGTCTCCTCAYATATAGGAGATGGTGAGCTTGCTCTGTTCCTGCCTCTCCAAAGACCACTGGCTTTCAGCCTTCTCCCASGATGGATCTGGACTCTTGTTTCACTCTAGTTTCACCCCTCTGCCCCATTACCGAGCCCCAAACCCCCCCCAGGGCTTGGAGATGCCAGGACTGCTGGGGTGCTGAGTCCTCCAGTGCTGTGGGGTCCCCGGCCCCGACTTGGCCCTGTTTGRACCCAGAGCATCCCTGGGACCAATTTTCCCCTTTTGCCTGATGGGAATTCYCTGCTGCAGCTGGACTGGTGTTGCTGCCCAGAAAAACCCCTCCCTGGGTCTGCTGTCCCTGCTCTTGCARTGATCCAGGGACAGTAATCCTGGGGTGGTGATCCCAGGGTAGTGATGCTGGGATGCTCAGGCATCAGCATCCCGGAGGACCGCAGCCAGGGATACTGCCATGGGGGAATGCCCTCCCAAGTGGGGCACTGGGCAGAGCCTGATGCCAGTGCTTCCCCTCTGTCTATTTCTGGCTGCTTCTTTCTGCCTCCCCACTCCAAAGTTCCAGTGGTTCCTCAGGAACCGGGTATTGCCCGGGTATGCCAAGCACAGATACCCCACAGCCGGCCCAGCTGGGGGAACAAGCAGCACCCCATTTCCCCTCCCGACCCTGGAAGGGCTGGGGGACAATGGGGTGGCYCTGGGGCTCCCAGTGGGGAGGAAGGAGGGCTATGCCATGGGGAAGCATCCTCCCAGCACATTGCTGTGCAAGGAAATGGGAGCAGGCACTTTTTCCCCGCAGCACCCAAGGCTGATATCCCCGGGGACTACGGAGGGTTTGCAACCCGGATGAGCCCTCAGCTGTGCCCTGGCTGCCCCCACCCACCACGTCCCTCTACCCTTGCACCAAGAAGCCTCTTGGGCAGCTGGAGCAGCCCACCCCAGCCCACATGGGAAGAGGCTCAGATGGTGATGTGGGGGCTGTCAAAGCCCAAGGAAAGCCACAATCTCCAGTGGAGCACCCCAGGACTCACYGCTTGCTGCTGTCACAGTCCCCTCAAATCTGCGGTCTTCTCCTGATCCCAAGCTGTTTCTCACTGGGAAGCACACAGGCACGGGTTTAAATCCAGATATCACCCCCAAGGGGCTCCAGCACGAAGTGTGACGGAATGCAGGGCAGCACCAGCCCCAAGGGTCCAGCCGGAGGATCCCTCACCTGCGCCTGCTGCTGTGTCGCCTCCCAGAGCCCTTTTCCTCCTAWGACGCCCACTTTATACTGCCCGGGGAGGAAATGTTGCAAAATCTTCTCCCAGCATGAAGAGGAAGTGGCAGCCACAGGGACCCTTCCTTGGTCCCCCCAGATGTCTTTCACGGGGTCAGGGAAGCTCACAGCCCCCTGTCACCCTCCGGTCCCAGRACATCTCAGCTCACCCCGCATTGGGGCTGCACGCGGGGGTTCACTGTCATCCCTGCAGTGATGCACCCCGGGGGTCTTCAGCTGGGGGTCCCCATTTTGTCCCCAGGCCCTCAGTGGACACCAGGCTCCCCTTCAAGGYACCCTTGTGTGTTGCAGTTCCCCCAGGAGAGCGGAAGCTCCCCGAGGTCATGCCAGTGGATGATGGCATGTGCCTCAGTTTCCCCATTGATAGAGCAATGGTGGTGTCAGCATTTGGGGGATGCACAGGGGGACTGCACAGCTGGCTTACCCTGGCTTGCCTCCTGCTGTGGGAGACCCGCCCCCCCCCCCAAGTAGAGTCCCATGTCCCTCCTGTCCTGGCTGTGCCATGCGAAGCTAAGCCAAGACAAGCCATGCCATCAGACAGAGCTGTACCCCCATGCCAGCCCCACAGACTTGGCAAATGCCCTGGCTCTGAGTGCCCCTATYGCCTTTAGGGTAAATCTGCACTCAAGGGCATCCCCCACACTCACCCCCATTCCACTRGGGCACTCACAAACCCTTTGAGCACCCCCATCCTCACAGCTTTCAATGCTTGTCAGTTGTAGGGGCACYCCACACTTTTGGGCCACATTTCTTCCCGGGGGCACCTGGTAAGTGTCATTTCCCTTGGCTATCACCGCAGACATACAGACACTCCTATTCTCTGGGAACACCGCCTGGTTTTTGATAACCCTGAGATCCTGGGCACCATTACAGCCCGCCTTGGATGTCCCCACTCCCTGTGTCACCTCACATTTTTGGGGCCCTGTAGCCCTGAAATCATCCATTTTGCAAGACGCCATTTCCTTCTGTAAGCACTCCCAAAGCCCTGGAGCACCAATTCTTACCCGGACCCTCAYACTCCGGGGCACACCTGCCACTTCCTGAACTGTCCCTACAATCCTAGGGGCGCCCCACAGTTTCGGGGCCCTCCATACACGGGAGGATCCCCTGAGCGGGGTGGGGGGCAGCACCTCACTGTTTCAGGGACTCCCATACCCAGTCCCACCCCAGTTGGGGTGATGCCCATAGCTCGAGCATCCCCCCACCTTTGTCCGTGTCCCCCCCATTCGCRGCCCCGCCCCGGCGCGCGCCGGTGGGTGGGGCTGGCTGTGACGTCATCCCTGGTGGGCGGAGATAAGRCTGGGCAGGGCGGGGTTTGCGCGCGCGGCGGCGCCGAGGCGGAAGTGACGCACGGGCGCGAGAGCGGAAGCGGCGGCGCAGGCTCGGGCGGGTCCCCGGTGCGCGCAGCGGGCTCGGCTCTATCAGAGCCGCTCCCGGCACCGACATGATCCTGCTCGAGGTCAATAACCGCATCATCGAGGAGACCCTCACGCTCAAGTTCGAGGGCGCGGCCGCCGGGTAGGAGCAGGGGAGCCGGGGCGGGGCGGGGACGGGTCCGCGGACCCAGGGAGGGGCGAGGGGGCGGTGGCTGGCGGGGCCCAGGCCGTGCCAGGCGCTCGGGCACAGGGTAGAGCCTGGCGGGTGGTGCCCGGGAAGGATGGGGGTGAGAGGGGCGGAAGGTGGAGGCCGGGGAATGGTGACAAGGCAGGATGTGGGACTGGAGAGTGGCGGGGAGCGGCACTGAGCCAGCGGGTACTGGGTTACCGGGTGGCGGCCCCGGGAGCRAGGAGGGCAGAGCGGGCACGGGGTGTGGCCTACAAGGTGCAGGGGCTGAGAGGAGGGTGGTCAGATTGCGGGAACTGAGCTGAGGGCGGCGGGGATGGGYAGAGCTTGGGCAGAGGGAAGGCCTGGGGAATGAGGGAGCAGAGTGGGACAGGTGTTGGAGGGGAGAGTGGGCTGGATGGGATCCTTAGTGCCAGGGCGGTGAGAGCCCCGGGGGAGCAGGACGGATCTGGGAAGGGTATTGGAAACTGCCGTGCTGAGGTGGGCTGGAGGACAGGCCCGGAACAAGGAGGAAGTTGGGAAGGGAGGTAGGATTTGCAGGGTGTTTGCTCTGGGTAAACCGGGCTTCATCAGCGTGGTGCCAGCGCTGCTACAGAATGTGTAGGGGTAGCCGAGGAATAGGAAGCCTGTGTATGGAGTCATGGCCTCAGTTTTTTGCTTTGGGGGTGGAAAGCAAATTCCATCCTGCTCCTTCTTTGCTTTCTCGAGCAGAGGGGATACAGGCCCACGGGTCAGTCGCTGCCAGCCTGGTGGGTGTCCTGGCCCCGGGGGACAGACTGGGGAATCTGGTTTGCACCCACATCTCTGGCTGGGACAGTTCAGTCCCTGGGGAGCCAGTGGGTTTTTTACTGTGTGAGTTGCACCAAGGCTGTAAAGATGCATGTGAGAACACTGCTTAGCTTGGAAGGAAGTCCCTTCAGTACAAATGTCCTTGTCTGCAGCCGAGTGGCCCATGGGCTCGCTGCACTGCATGCTGACTGAGACACCTTTATGCAGAGAGAAAGCCTTGAGAGGCAAAGCACAGTGGTGTTATCTCTGGGGTGGAGCCTGCCCTGGCGCCTCACAAGGCACAGCTCAGGCTGCCCCAGGAAAGGACCCCTCAGCCAGGTGCCTTTTTCTGTATTACCTTTCCTGTCCAGTGGTTTTTGAAGCTCTCAGCCTTTTGTGTGCAGAACATTGACAGAGGCCACTTTCTCTGTTTTCTTTCCCACTCTCAGTTGACTTTGTTTTGGTTTTGTGGGTTTTTCATAAAATAATCTCACATGCTGCTCTGCCTTGGAGGATAGCTGAGCTGCTCCCAGATTTTGGTTCTTCTTGAGCCCTGATCATTTAATGCAACAAGTTTCCCTGGAGCACAGGCAACCACACTGGGAAGAGAGAGCTCCCAGGTGACCATTGTGGTATTGCAGATGCATCCATTAGAAAATATGGCATGTACAGAAGTTCATAGTGAGTGTCAGAGCAGGTTATCGATCTCAAGTCCATACCAAGGCACTCTTCCTGACGGAGAGAGGAGCATGTGCATGTGTCCCTGTATTGCTGTCATGTGGAGTTCACAGGTTTAAATGCACTCCGAAACCCTGACTCTGTGAGCAGAGCTGGGTTGCTCTGCACCAGCCTGCAGGCCCCTTCCATTTTGCCTTATTGTGTGTTGACACATGTATACCTGACATCCCAATTGCTCCTGAATCAATTTGTAAGGTGGCTGATGGTGCTCTGCTTCTGCCTCTTAGTCATCTATGGCATGTTCTGTTCTTTAGATGATGTTTCTAGATAAGTTTTGTGCCTTGTTTTGCTGGAGGTGAGAAAGACGTTAACTTCTGAATTTTCTTCTGTGCTTGTTCTGGTATTCTCCTGTTCAGGCAAGTGCGGGGTGGAGAGATGCAGGGAGTTTTCTGGTTTCAAGTCTGCTAAGGAGTGGGTGTTGCAAAACATTMAAGTGATATTACTTTTCCCAATGGCCACAGCTCTGGGGTTACTCCTGTGCTGCTCAGCCTGGAGACAGGAAAGGATTTTCTTGTATTTTGCTATTTTGGTGATGGTTGTTCCAAGGTATGTCTTGGGGACGAACATAGGACAATAGGGCAAGGTCAATCCTTGAAGAATTTGGTGACTGGGAGGAGTGAGGCTGTACACTGGGGCAGAGTTGTGTTTGCATTATTTGCTCTAACCCAGGAGTGCAGCAGATGTGAAGCAGGGACTTGTCTCAGAGCCAGGTGTGCCTGGTGGCTTCAGCGCCAGCCTGGAAGTGTGGCAGGGCAGGCTTCCTTTCCAAATGYTTTGCCAAAGACTTGTCCTGTGGCATGGGCTGTATCACTCCCCTCTGCTTCCCACTGCTATAGTGCAGCCATAGTTTGGCAAATCCCTGCAGAGCTTTCCTGTGCTATCAGGTGGGAGACACTCCACATTTTTTAGTTGTAAAGAGAAAGCTTCCGTAAGTTTTTGACCATTTCATTTGTACTTGAGATCTTGCCTAGAAGCTGGTGTCACAGGTGGGTTTTCCCATTTCTGATAGAAATGCGATGTGAGGAGATGGGCTCTACCAGTTGGAAGATCTTGTTTCTCATCATTACTTCCTTTTGCTAACCACACAGACATAAAAAAACCCCACAAACACTTCAAATGTAAATTTTGATGGTTGTCTTCTGTGTCTGGTGAATAATTGTTCAGTTTAACACTAACAGATTTGCTATCCAGTTTTGTCCTGCTCTAATTTAAGTGACCCCGATGAAAGTGTGGCACAGAGCTTTGGTCTTAGGGATTGGTTTCCAGTCACACATAGCTTACCCAGAATCTTTAGTACTATCTTTATAGTAGAATCTTCATTATTTACCACTGTGCAAAAGAATGCAGATTTGCATAGCTGGGCTACAGCATACCTTTTCCTAGGTTTGGGGCAGAGAATCTAGAGGGAAGAGAATCTCATATTAAATTGTTGGTTTCCTTACAGCCATTAGTAGGTACAGATCTGCAGGGCTTCCTGACTATTAGCTGCATAGGAAATCAGCTGAAGCTTGAACTTCCCTGATGCAGAGTAGTTCCTGTGAGCTGGTAGGAGCTGGGCTGAAGCTGCACCCGCTTGCTTTATGGTATTTCCCACCTGCGGTTAGTTGGTGCTCGTCGGCGGAGCTGAGCCTTTCAGACACAGAGGCTGAGCCTTGGCTGAAACCAGGCAGTGAGAACTTCGTGTTCGTGGTGTGACATGAAGTGAATTCATTTTGGGGAGACTGAGGAGGCTGTTGCTTGTGCTCGGAGGGTAGAGGAGCTTTGAATCCTGCCAGGCGCTACTGAGGAACTCTTCAGGAGTTGTTGTGGCCATATGTGGCTCCGGTGCTTCAGGGATGCTCAGAGACCCCACCAAAACCAGAGATTGTTCTTCTGCTACCCCCTCCTTCTT